CACCAAGGGGAACAAGCCCTTGAAGTTATACATAGCTGCAGCAGAGGATTCATTGGGAGCTTTCTTAGCCCAAGATAATGAAGAAGGCAAGGAGCAAGCTATTTATTACCTTAGTAGGTTCTTAAGTTCGCTTATGAATTGAAGTGCAGTGCAGATATGTAAAGTGCAGGTATTGAAAGTACAGGAATGTAAAACTGGAAAGTAAAATATGAAATAAAGACTGGTATGTATGATCTGAGTTCCGTCCTTTTTCCTGGGGGTCTCTCTGCTATTTATACTTGTCAAAGATGACCTTCGAACTGCTCTTCGAACCGTCGAACTGCTCCTCCCTGATCGCTGATCATGTTGCCTTAGAAGTAGCTCCATTATGCCACCATTTGCAGTTAGGCTTCCCTCATGTATTTGAATTTGAATATGAGTAACTGTTGAAGCCACGTCACCTTGCGTTTCTTTACTGATCCAATGTTGCTCAGATCATGTGAGAACCAATTATCACCACGTGTACGATCAGGATTGAAGACTTAAATTATTTTCCAATAATACCCTTATTTTGCCACGTGTTGGATTGTAACTGGTTTTTACAAAATATATAGCTAACAGTAATCCTCAATCGTCAAATAATGAAACCTAAAATGCATTCAAAAATGGTATTTCATTGTCTTGTAAACTTACACATCCACTCGACTCGATTATGGATAATGAATGAATAATAAACAATAATATATTTTTTTTTATATCGTGTGGTAGTGAATGTGATAATTTTTTTATTTAATTTTGAGTAGATATTAGCCTCAAGAATAAAAAATAAAATAAAAAAAAAATTAAAAAAAAAACTTGAAAAGGTTCAAATAAAAAAAAATTAATTAGGAAAATGGCCAAATATAAACCAAGCGAAGTATAATTTAACCATTTATTGCATATGCAAAATGGTACGTGATTTAAAAAAATAATAATAATTTGGTTGTTTCCAGTTTTTTAATCTGAGTAGATTACATCCATGTGGGACCAAAAAGAGACATCTTAATTCTCAATATATATATAAAAGGAAAATAAACATAAATACAAAAGGACGGAAGTAGGAAGGTGGAAATAGTATTAAAATAAAATAAACATAAATAATAATAAAATAGTTTAAATAAACATAATAAAACTTACAATTGTTTACTGGAATGAAACAAACAGTTCTTCAAAATACATAACTTGAAAACGAACTTGAAAATAAAATTACAGAGATAGCTATTTTTCTTGAGGAATGGGAAGCAGGAAGGAGAAAACAGCACTAAAATAAAATAAACATAAATAATAATAAAATGGTTTTAAAAAACATAATAAAACTTACAATTGTTTACTGGAATGAAACAAGCAGTTCTTCAAAATACATAACTTGAAAATGAACTTGAAAATAAAATTACAGAGATAGCTATTTTTCTTGAGGAATGGGCACTGTCAATATTTTCTAACCCTGCCTTATTCTTGACTGAAGAGGCTCTTTTATAATCAAAAGCGACTACTGTTAGCCTTGTGAGTAAATGATCTTAACTTGAAATGAGCATCAGGAGCACATGGGAGCTGTCTGCTGCTTTCGGTGAGTGACTAAAGTTGATGACTGCCTTTTACTGTGTTGAATTTGTCGGTTGGATAAATCATGATGAATGAGGAATAGTAATGTTGACTTTTTGATGAATAGTGAATAGTAAAGTTGACTTTTTTCACTATTCATTTCTTGGAGGCATGTGACTAAAGGAATCAATATAGATATATATATATATATATATATATCAGCAGCTTTTCTCAAAAGACGAGTATTGATTGAAGCTGATAATTATAGCTATATAGAATCCAATAACTGAATTAAGTATATGGGTCCTGAGCATCTTGAAACTGGGGCCCATAAGGATCCTGATTGGTTGAACCTTCAGAAGAGTTTGAACTGTCTGAACTGTTTTCTGAATCACTATTATCCGAATCTGACTTGGCTTGGGCCATAAGGAGACGAGTCATTTGAAGAAGCTCATCCTTGGATGACTTGGATTTAGGCTTAACCTTGGACTTGGATTTTTCTTTTGATTTGGGCTGATCAATGATGGACTTTGCTAACATGGACTTAAGCTTTGACTTGGATGACTTGGGTTTAGAAGAACTGGATGTTGGGCTTCCAAGATTTATTGGAGGAAGTTGGCTTCCTTGTGTTAATGGAGCAGCTGGGATCTGCTGAGCTTTAGCCATAACAGGAGTTGGAGCATGTATGTTGATTAGGAATTCAGTTTGAACAATTTCAATGATGCGTGGAATTTTGAAATTATCCCACCATTTAACCATGTGTTGACGATAAATAACATCATCAGAAATACCATATAACCATTTGAATATCCAAGGGATTTTGTATTTGGATATAAAAATAAGCAATGGAGTGAATTTCCTTTGCTGATGAGTGAATGAGAAAGCAGTGGAGAAATAATTGACTTGTTCCATAATTACAGATGGGAAAATTTCTGAAATGGCGCCATACTGAGTCCACCATCTCAGAAACCAGGTAGGTAACTTGGATTTGAACTTTTGATCAAATTGAAGAAACCAAGAGTGACTGTTTGACTCATGTTAATACAAGAGGACTTTGAACCAAGCATCAATGTAATCATAATAACTGTATTGAATTGAATGACCAAGCAAATCTCGCAATTGGTAAGGAGAACCCCAATTGTCCAGAGAAAAAAAGTT